AATTATTAGCCATTATTAGGCATTATCAGCCCATTATCAGCCCCTGCTCCTTCTCCTCCAGCTTCTGCACCACCTGCAGCTGCGCCTCCACCTGCCCAAATCATTAATTAATCATTAATTAGTCACTAATTAGCGAAAACCGCACGTTAATAGGCGAAAAAATGGCTATTTTAGGGCTTTATTAGCCCTAATAATGAATTTATTAGAGGTTATTAGGACTTAATCACGTTTTTTTAAACTCCTGAGTCAATTCCACTTGAATAAGTGCATAATTAATCATTAATTAATCATTAATTAGTCATTAATTAGCGAAAACCGCTCGTTAATAGGCCAAAACCCGGCAATTTTAGGGCTTTATTTGCTCAAATTATGGATTTATTACCTATTATTAGGACTTAATTACCGTTTTTTCACTCCTGCTTCATTTCCACCAGCACAGGTGAACCAGAAATAATTMACCGATCATTAATTAGCGATTAATTAGTGAAATCAGCTCGTTAAAAGACAAAAAAATGGTGATTTTAGGGCTTTATTAGCCCATTATTAGCTCATTATTAGGTCCTAATGAGCTTTCTCAAGGTCCTGCCCCATCTCCACCTATGAAGATGAGTAATTAACCATTCATTAGGGATTAATTAGTGATAAATTAGTGAAAACCGCACGTTAATACGTGAAAAAACGGCGATTTTAGGGCTTTATTAGCCCATTATTAGCCATTATTAGCCATTATTAGCCCATTATTAGCCATTATTAGCCCCCTCTCCTTCTCCTCCAGCTTCTGCACCACCTGCAGCTGCGCCTCCACCTGCCAGAGTCATTAATTAATCATTAATTATTAATTAATGATTAATTACCTGTGCCGTGAGTTCAATTAACCCCGATTAATCACTATTTAATGCCTATTAATCGCTGATTAATGACCACTAATCACTATTAATCGTCAATTAACACCTATTAATCACCATTAATCATCAATTAATCACTAATTAGTGACCCAGGGAGGCCTCACTTGCCCCTTGATAACCATTAACAACCAATGATCGCTAATAAATCACTATTAATCATAAATTAATGGCTATTAGTGGCTATTTAAAGGCTACTAATCACTATTAATCATCCATTAACGCCTATTAATCACCAATTAACAATGCCAGGAGGCTTCAACTGTGCCTCGAGGGCCATTAAAAACCATTAACGTCCATTAACGGCCAATAATCACCAAATAATGTGCTATTAATTACAATTAATGACTATTAGTCACCAATTAATGACTATTAGTCATTAAATAAAAGCTATTAATCACTAATTAACACCTATTAAACACCAAATAATAACTCTGGGAGGCCTCACCTATGCCTCGAGTGGCATTAACGACCTTCAATCACTAATAAATCACTATTAATCACTAAATACTCTCTATTAATTTCTAATTAATGACCATTAATATCTCATTAATGACTATTAATCATTAATTAACGACCAATTAACGATCCTGGAAGGCCTCACCTGTGCCTTGAGTGCCAGCACCTGCTCGGCCAGCTCGTCCTTCTCCTCGCGCAGCCATTAATGACCATTAATCACTGATTAATGGCTACTAATCATCAATTAATGACCTTTAGTCACTAATTTATGGCTATTAATCACCAATTAATGTCTATTAATCACTAACTAACACCTAATAATCACTGAATAATGACTCTGGGAGGCCTCACCTTCACCTTGAGGGCCATCAAGGACCATTAATCACTATTTAATGCCTATTAATCACCAATTAATGACTTTTTTGATCAAATAATGACCATCAATTGCCCATTAATCACTATTAATCACCAATTAACAACCCCACGAGGCCTCACCTGTGCGTCGAGTGCCATTAATAACCATTAATCCCTAATTAGTCACCATTTGTCATTATTTATTTCCTACTAATCACTGTTTAATAACTATTAATCACTATTTTTCACCGATTAACACCTAATTATCACCAATTAATGACCTCTAATCACTAATTAACGACTCTGGGAGGCCATAAACAACCACTAATCACTAATAAATCACTAGTAATCACTAATTAATGGCTATTACCCGCTATTTAATGTCTATTAATCACTATTAATCACCAATTAATGACTATTAATCACCAATTAATCACTAATTAATGAGTCCAAGACCCCTCACCTGCGCCTTGAGGGCCAGCACCTGCTCGGCCAGCTCGTCCTTCTCCTTGCGCAGCCATTAATGACCATTAATCACTAATCAATCACTAATTAATGACCCATTAACCACCGTTACTGGCCATTAACAGCTCCTATTCACTAATTAATGACTAATAGTCACTAATAGGCCCCAAATCACTGATTAATGACCATTAATCACCTATTAATGAGCTCTACCTCACCTGGGCCTTGAGAGCCATTCATGACCATTAGTCGCTATTGATGGCTATAATTCACTAATTAATAACTATTAGTCACTGATTAATGATTCCTAATCACTAATTAATGCTTATTACTCATTAATTAATGGCTTCTAATTACCAATTTAAGATCCTGGGAAGCCTCACCTGCACTTTCAGGACCATTAACGACCCTCAGGAACCACCAATCGCTAATTAATGACTAATTATCGCTAATTAATGGCTATTAATCAACAATTAACACTTATTAGTCATAATTAATCATGAATTAATCACTAATTAGTGACCCTGGGCAGCCCCACCTGTGCCTTGCGGGCCATTAATGACCATTAATCAGCAATTTACGCCCATCCATCACTATTTAATGCCTATTAATCTCTAATTAGTGGCTATTAATCACCATTTAACGGCTATTAATCACTATTAATCGCCAATTAACGAACTCTAATGACCAATTAATCACTCCACGACCCCTCACCTGTGCCTTTAGGGCCAGCACCTGCTCGGCCAGCTCGTCCTTCTCCTCGCGCAGCAGCTTGTGGATCTGGTTGGCTTTGATGCGCTCCGACATCAGCTTGAAGTTGGCGTCGTCCTTCTCGCGCAGCTGCTGCAGCAGCCGCAGGTTCTGCTCCTGCATGTCCTCGAAGGCCTGGCCCGTCACGTCCATCTCCGACAGCAGCGCCTCCTCCTCCTGGGCAAAGGAAAAAAAGAGGGTTGACATTATGGGATGGGCAAGATGGCCGCCGTTAACGCTGCCCCGTCACGTCCATCTCCGACAGCAGCGCCTCCTCCTCCTGGTGAGACAGGGAAACAAGATGGCCGACATTAATAGATGGACAAGATGGCCGCTGTTATAGGATGGGGTTGAGGCAAGATGGCCGCCGTTAAGGGATGAGCAAGATGGCCGACAGCAGGGAATGGAATCATCCATGGGGACAAGATGGCCGCCATCAGGACAGTGACAAGATGGCCGCCGTTAAGGGATGGACAAGATGGACGCCATGAAGAGAATGGGATCATCCATGGGGACAAGATGGCCGCTGTTAGGGGATGGACAAGATGGCCGCTGTTAAGGGAATGGGATCATCTATGGGGACAAGATGGCTGCCATCAGGACAGTGGCAAGATGGCCGCTGTTAAGGGATGGACAAGATGGCCACTGTTAAGGGGTTGAGGGTGGGACAAGATGGCCGCCATCACGAGGGTGACAAGATGGCTGCCATGAAGGGAATGGAATCATCCATGGGGACAAGATGGCCGCCATCAGGAGAGTGACAAGATGGCTGCCACCAGGAGAGTGACAAGATGGCCGCCGTCAGGGAATGGCATCATCCATGGGGACAAGATGGCCGCCATCATGGAATGGAATCATCCATGGGGACAAGATGGCTGCCCTCAGGGGAGTGACAAGATGGCCGCCAGCAGGGAATGGAATCATCCATAGGGACAAGATGGCCGCCATTATGGGAGGAGCAAGATGGCCGCTGGTAAGAGAATTGGATCATCCATGGGGACAAGATGGCCGCCATCAGGGAATGTGAGCATCCAGGAGGACAAGATGGTCGCCATAAAGAGAATGGAATCATTCATGGGGACAAGATGGCCGCCGTTAACGCTGCCCCGTCACGTCCATCTCCGACAGCAGCGCCTCCTCCTCC